TGTTTACAAATTTCCTATATTATTATATAGATCTTCATAAAGATTTAATGACTTTATATGGCTACAATATTCTTACATTAAATTTAAATATAAAAAACATACTTAATAAAACAACTTTTTTCATAAATTCTGCAACTTTTTCGAAAGTTGGATTTGATTGAATTGTGCAACATTTTTTATTTCTTTATTATTTTTTTATATTTTATGTGATTGGAAAATCCCTGATTTCAGATCTTTTGAAACGCAAGTAGTACAATTACAGAGCGCATAAATACGAGATTCGACGCGCACCTCACAACACAACACAACACAACACAACACAACACTGGCTCTTACCTCACTACACAACACTGACTCTCACCTCACTACACAACACTGACTCTCGCCTCACTACACAACATTGACTCTCGCCTCACTACACAACACTGACTCTCACCTCACTACACAACACTGACTCTCACCTCACTACACAACACTGTCTGCCACCTCACTACACAACACTGACTCTCACCTCACTACACAACACTGTCTACCACCTCACTACACAACACTGACTCTCACCTCACTACACAACACTGTCTACCACCTCACTACACAACACTGACTCTCACTACACAACACTGACTCTCACCTCACTACACAACACTGATCCTCACCTCACTACACAACACTGACTCTCACCTCACCTCACTACACAACACTGACTCTCATCTCACTACACAACACTGACTCTCACCTCACTACACAACACTGACTCTCACCTCACTACACAACACTGACTCTCGCCTCACTACACAACACTGACTCTCGCCTCACTACACAACACTGACTCTCACCTCACTACACAACACTGTCTGCCACCTCACTACACAACACTGACTCTCGCCTCACTACACAACACTGACTCTCACCTCACTACACAACACTGACTCTCACCTCACTACACAACACTGTCTACCACCTCACTACACAACACTGACTCTCACCTCACTACACAACACTGTCTACCACCTCACTACACAACACTGACTCTCACTACACAACACTGACTCTCACCTCACTACACAACACTGATCCTCACCTCACTACACAACACTGACTCTCACCTCACTACACAACACTGACTCTCACCTCACCTCACTACACAACACTGACTCTCACCTCACTACACAACACCGACTCTCACCTCACTACACAACACTGATCCTCACCTCACTACACAACACTGACTCTCACCTCACTACACAACACTGACTCTCACTACACAACACTGACTCTCACCTGACTACACAACACTGACTCTCACTACACAACACTGACTCTCACTACACAACACTGACTCTCTCAAAAAAGAATACTCAAAATAGTATGTAATACACTTGGACATACATGTACAATGACTAAATAATCTCTGACGTCACAAAGTCAAGTATTGCAGTTATGTGAAGACAATCAATGTGAATGTTACAATTTTATGTATTTATGTATGGTCGAATCTGACGCCGGATTCATTGTGATTACACAAATCACATTGATAACCTGCGGCCAATGATGCTTCGTGAAACTCTACAACCACAATGAATGACAACCCTTTCGTCTTTCACAGGTTTCAGAAGCTGTCAGTATATTTACGTTAACTGCGATAGGCATTGACAGATATTACGTGGTTATGTATCCCCTACGACCACGGACGGACAACCGGAAAAAGAAAATAATCATACTTGTAACGTGGATTCTGGCCACGGGGCTTTCCGCACCAAAGCCATGGGTATTGCAATTGTACAGTTACCCACTAGTGGATGGAAAAACTGCACATAGTTGTAGTCCGAATTGGCCGTCTATTGAGCATAAACATCGCTACGATTGGGCGCTGGTTATTATTCTTTTCGCTTTGCCGTTGGTGTTACTGAGTTTCTGCTATGGAAGAGTTGCTAGAAAATTGTGGTTGCGAAGTCTGCCAGGAAATGCAGACCCAGAGAGAGACAGGGAACAGAAGAAGAGTAAGGAAAAAGTGAGTAAGAAGACAATCCATTTTGTATTTTGTTGTGTTCTAGTGTAGTACAGTGTGGTTTTTCTATTCATCATTTACTTTAGAGCAAGTACATTATGAAGATAATATTGTACATGATACATGCACAGTAGCCAGGTGACTGTAGTGAAGTACATATTCCAAATAATCTTTAACATTAAAGTATGTTTTATTTATTTATTCCACATATAGAGCTATACATTATTGATTATTCACAAAATAACGGAAGGTATTTTCTAAGACGCGAAATATGGGTACAGATTTGAAAAAAATTCAAATATTTTCAGGGTGGCAATAATACACAAATCTACGATGACTGAAAAAAACATTCACTGCGCATTTACAAGTGGGGACAATCGAGTTTATTAATGTGTAACATGTCTGTAACCGAATCTTCCAGCCAATCAAACTCGTTCTAGTGGCCTGATCATTGATTGTCACACTTTATTCTGTGTTCAACATTTATACTGTTCTGTTCACACGGGAACAATATTAGAATGTTGCATGACTATATTAGTATTCTAGTTACGTAAATGTTTAATACATATTTTGCATTCGTGTTTGTTCTGTAGAACCAAATCTTTATTTCTAAAATTAATCGTAAGCTGGTACAAATATTCTGTTGTTAATATATCTTAATTTATGGTTAAATTTGACAAGATTCGAGAAACCTATTAAATCCAGGAGAAGCCTGCATTATATTGTATAGTTTGGTTTCATATTAATTGCAGGTGCAAACAATTCTTACAGAGAGTTAATAAATTCATTATCGAAAATCCCTACGAACATTGCAATATAGTGAGGGTCTTTCCTATTGACTCTAATTTTAAGAAAACAATTTGGTACACCGTGTTACAATCTCATTCCCCCCTGGTACAATGAAATAGATAGATTAGCCGACAGACGGAAGTCAATTTTGTTTTAACTACCAGGTACAACAGTTTCTGACTATACAAATTGTGTGTATGAATCTTATTTGCGGTCAGCTCAAACGCCTGGAACGTTTCCCAGGCCAGTTGCAAGTTACGGTACGCATCTTGTTTGTGTTAGCTGTACATTTGAATACCTATAATCAACAGCCATTTTAAATAGCCATAAGATTGTTATGGCTATGTACAGTAGTAGACCCTATTTTGTAGAGGAAATATTGAACATGTCTCCTACAATTATATAAGAATTACGTTAGAATCTCTAGAAACCTCTCATTATGTCAACATCAGACAATGAGTTGGTTCATTGCAAGAAAGTTTAGTGTTTATGTTATGACATAACTTCTTGGGTTCAGGTCTAATCATTGTGAATTATGTACAGCAATGATTACTGTCCAAATGTGGTCAGTCGTGTTTTAATGAATGTTATATGTTAACACTGGATCCTGTATGACATTATAAATATCAAAATCTGTTTCCATAATTTTAAATGGTTCACAAGTTCAATTATAAACACAAAACATACTGACATACCATTCGGTGTTTAATATGAGTAGTCTTCCAACATAGTGAACAATTAATCAAGTATATAATGGCGTGTGATTGGCTACATGAGTGGAATGGGTGGAGGCCACGTCTCAAGATCTTAATTTCCGTGTACTAGATTATGATTTGGAAGAGGAATAAAGTCAGTCTTCACGAGGGGCTGAGACTAGCGTTGACACGATACCATCTGTGTGTGTTTTTGTTTAGTTGAAAGGTTTGTGAACGAGACGATCCCGAGTACCTAATGTAACGTTTAATAAGCCGAGAATTAAACCGTTATAGTTGCATCGACACAAATACACAAGGGGTTTCAGCTTGATTTTGGGTGGGGTGCGCGACGTCCCCCGAATATTTTTCGTCAGACTATAGCATTAATTTAGCAATTTATACGTTGTTTTCTTGCAGACTGTCAAAATGCTGATTTCTGTCGTGGTGTTATTTGCTCTATGCTGGCTACCATTGAACGTATACAATATCGTGCTCAGCTATTATCCTGAATACTTCAGGAGTCACCAGCAAGAGACGCGCATATCACGTGCTAGTGTGTTGATTTGGCTGACACTCTCTGACACAATCATCAATCCGATTGTATATGTGTTTCTCAGTGACCGATTCAGGGTAAGGTCATTTTCTCAAACGATCTTCAGTCTTGTATATGCGAATGCAATTGATTACTGAATTGTGATTATAAGGATGTAACTAGTGGGAACCTCTTCTAAATCCTCCCCTGGTACAAACACATGTCATAGTGCGTCAGTCTATACACCTTTCATATAAATCGCGTTCTATAGCGACAGGTAGATGACGTCATAATGGCGTAATTGGGGGAAAGCAATGTCTGTCACAGTGATAAGTGCCTGAACGTGCTCAAAGTACACATTGGACGCTTCAACTTGAACGTGGGATTATATGTGCACAGCAGACGCTCAAAACAAAATTGAATGCGTAGGTTTTGAGCCCTAATCTTATCGTTGAAGATCAAACATTAATCAAATCACAATTGTAAGCACGATTCTGAGAAACATACCCACCAGCGGGCCCATTCCCCCGTTTCTTTTTTGGAAAAAAATAATTTCACACTTGCCCGCAAAATCATTGCACATTGCGTACATGACAACAACACTGCCATCGTATGGACTAAGCTAAAATACAACTGTGAAAGTACTAATAATTTACGTTATCAATTCATGTAAAAGACTTCCATACTCAAATTCAACGCCGTATTTTTTGGCATGGCGTTCACAATTTGTTGCCTATTAGTAACACCAATAATCAACACTAACTGAAGTACGAAAGAAAACGCAATTTTGTGGCATTTTAAATCCATGCGTCATATTTTGCTATGACGTAATACAACCACGAAAGATTTTGATGTATTCACACAAGAATGTATTAATTCTAGGTTACCCCAAAAATGTATATATATATTGCCGATGTGGATACTCTGGAAGCCCCGGGTACAATTTAAACGAGTCGGTTGCACAGGAAAGGAAAGTACAAGAACCCCGTGCAAGACTGCTTAAATAATATTTTATCAAAATAAACATGTACTGCGTATGTGACTTGAATTGCCAGAATAGGTATACTAACACTATTCGGACATCCACGAAATTAAACGCATAATAAAATCGCATCCCAGAAACCTGATCATCTGATTGCAACTGGCTAGCGGTTACTGGGGTTTAATAGAATGTGTTAACGTTTATCTAATTTAATTGAATATAGTTAAGATAAAGCTGGCAATTAACCGGGTGAGGTAGTTTATTGGCCAAAGGGGGTTTCCACCTACTAGTTCCCTAATTTCAAATTCCCCCTTCTTACAATGTGAACACCCCTACTATTCAGTAAGGGCTTTTCACAAACGTAACCCGCCAGTCACTTACGTAGCTATGCTTATCTAGCTCATTTCTGCCTATTTTTATTTTCCTTAGAAATCATTATATCTAGCTTTTTTGGCGAGAATAACGTATACATATTTTAACGAGAATCGCGATATAATGCTAAATTAAATTAACTATTTAATATTCGTGTACGTTGGACAACGCAAATATAAAATACAGTTAACGCGTGTTGCCATATAACAGCAAGTTTCAATAATAAACGTAACAATTGGATAAGTAATGTATGAATTTAATAATGCAGGAGAACTAATGTCTTAAACTGGTGTCTACAAGATTACATTATAATTGATATCTACGACATGTTATCGACTTTCCTTCTGACATGCCTCGCTCGTTTATTAACAGGGGGCATGTTTATTATTATATTATTTTTATTATATTAACAAAGTGTCGTTTTGTCTGTCCAATTCCTTCAACATTCGGTTTGATTGATTGACACGTATTCAGATCATATGTAGATCATTGTGGAAAATCGCGATAGTTCAATAACACAACTGTTCTGATAGTGCATGCAAATACCATGTACGACGCAATAATTATAATAAGTTATTACTATCAATAGCAAATTGTCTAATAAGTATACTGCCTCTTAAACTCTTGCTTAAATTGCTCAAAATTTGAGCCCATTTATTTTGTTTTTCACCTCAAGGAATAAGTTCTTTACACCTCGACTGTAAAACATTTTATGAAATAATATAACTATATAAATGGTGTCTATGGTATTTAAATGGCCATGTGCCTAGAAAAGGTTTAAAAACATACTATTATCGGGATTTTATTTTCTAAATTGTAACATAATGTACACCATAGGAGTTGTGGGTGTTATGACGTATATATAGTGTTTGAAAGGGCGATTCGAATTGGTGCCTATGTATACAACACATGTAAAATACTGGGCATGTTTAAACGGAACGCGATGGGCGTGACGTTGGCCACTGTTTAAATAACCGAGAAACCGCAAGCTATATGAACTCACGTCAACCTATCATATCCTGGCATGTCTAATTCAACACTCTGTCCCATTTTCATTTGTTTGTGTTTTTCCAGAAAGACTTGAAGAACATGTTCTATCAATGGACGCGTCGATGTAGATCAGACGGAGACGACTTTTATACAGGTGGATATGCGACTACGTCAGCGTATGATACGTCACCGTACACCACAAGGCGCACTCGCCTCTCACCAAACATGAGTTCTACAGACATGGGGCGAAATACAAACATGGACAACACGCTGGATGTTAGTTCCAACAGAAACATTACACTGACAGTGGATGGTTTACCGAAAAAACGGTAAGTTGGTGTCGCCTGGGTGTTTATGTTGCAAATTGTAGGACTATATGGAGAGTACATTAGTCATTGTGAACTTACATAGCGGGAATTCGTACACAGTCTGAGCTTTGGAGCTTTGGAAAGGAGAATTGTTCCCATTTGTATATGCATAAGATTTTCATGAAAATTTAACAAGCTTGTGGTCAAGTTGTAGATTGTATTTACTTCTATAATGCATTTTATAAAGTTGTTATGTAAGTCGGAATAATTCATATACGCCAGAAATCCTGGATATTTACCTATTTACCTTAACGACACTTGCTAAATAAATTTATTATTTTTGTTAAATTGTCTTGAATAAAGCAAAATATCTCAGAGTGTGTAATATAATTCCAGTATAGAACTACTTATGCTATCTGCAATGCTAAATAATGAGTGAGTTTTCGTAGGTTTACTAAACGTTCTGCATGCACCAACACCAAATCATATTATTTTAGTATCTACATTGATGCCGTATATTCAATGTTATTTACCTGCTGCACTTCCTATCTTAGCAGCTACAATTATACATCGGCTAAGTGATTGAAAGTGAAAGTGCATCCAACCAACAGCGACCGCGTTGTAGCTAGTGATTTGATTGCATTAATCAGTGGCGGCGCGTCGCCCCCACAAAATCAAGCTGAAACCCTTTGTGTGATCAAAACTTGCCCCTCAAACTGCAGGAAATAGCGTTTCAGATGGTCAAGGTTTCAGATTCTGTCCCCATGCAAAGTTTCGTGCCGCCGTTAATGAAACGATAAGTCATAGTCATAGTGTCACTGGTTATAACTCCCCACAGCAAACCTTTAAAGTAGTTGGCAAGTTTCAGTGTATTTCATTGAACATTTCAGTTTGTGGTTGAGAGGCTGAAATTAGTTTAAGTAGTATAGTCGTAAAACAGCTGTGATCCTGGCGTGACCAATGTCTACAGATGGCGGAAATTTGAGAAAAAAATGATTTCTTAATAGACATGTCGTTGACCTTACCAAGTACTTGCCAGTGTATATGTAGCTACCATTCAGGAAGTTTCGGTGTACGCCCTCACATCACCCCCTCTGGCCGTGTGTTTCTTATACTGAGTAATTATTTGTTTCTCATCATTTAATTAAAAGTTTAAAAGTTTTCTTTTCGTATTTTATATTCATACTTATAATTTGCATATATTTGTATTCTTGCATGATAGCATTTGAAACGTCACGTTCCGACTCGAGCACGCCTTGTGAATCACACGTGACGCACATTGAACACAAGGCCACAGTGCCACTTTAAAAGTATATAGTCACCATACATTTCATGATGTGCATCATTTTGTTACTTATAGGAGTATTGTTGCCGGGAGTAAAGTTTGAGCCAACCGAGTCTGCAATCAACAACGTTTTCCGTTACAACGTTGTATTCTTGACTGTGAACATTGCGCATAACTCGGCCCTGGATGAAACATATCGGTTAACAAATGATGTCATAAAGTAATATGATTTCTAGTCCCTCGATTGTAAGCTAAAATTTATGTTTTTTAATATTCCTGACGATTGTTTAATACAAAGGGTCTATAATATATTTGCCAGAAGGCTCGTCTGTGCGGGGATTATTATCAATCAACAAAAGGATTAACAGATATAAGCCTTATCTCTGACGAGGGAGATTTCCAGATGATAATGACAAAGATTTACGCTACGTGTGTACGTATGAAGAAGTAAACACAAGCAATGGGAATATATGTGAGAAAGGGTTTATATGTTGCCGTGTTACAGTAGCAATCTCGACCTCTTTTAATAACGCGTATTCCAACAATTCGAATGCACAATTAATTTTTCAATAAAGGTTAGCGTTTCCAAAACATGAAAACAATCATTATGTTCAAAATATATTCTTTACCAATCATCTACTGAAAAACTTTGTTTTAACACGACGCAATTTGTAAAGTTTTATCTGTTCAACTATGTTGAAGATAACAATAAAACAAAGAAACGTCGAGTTACAATATTATTATTGTCGGGATTCATGTAATAAATACCTTCATACACAGAAGGTTTTCTTTGTTTTCTGTAAAATTAAGTCGAAATATTGTTCTGCAATTTATGTTGTTACACCAAGGAACGCAAGCATAAGCAGATAAAGCAGCTATGTTATAACAATATTTGGCACAATTGACAAGTCAATGTATTTAAACAACTTTTTATATGTATATATTTCAAATATGTCTTCAAGTCTATGTTTAATGTCCGATGAAATGTTCTTATACTGTAATTGATTTTTTTAGAATCAATTCATGGCGAAAGTTGCATTCTCACTTCGTATTAGATGCAGAATACCATGCTAAAATCTGTTGGTTTGGCAACAAATCCTGTAATATTGGACAACTAGAGATACCGTAGTGTTGAATCACCAAATCAAAGTCATTTTCATTATTATAATCACTCAAGACCATATTGCGTGGAATACAATTTCAGGATTTGTTGAATAAATCCAAAGCTAGATATATATATTATTTTGCTTAGCTTTTTTGTTTATAGTATTCAATATAATGTATTACTTAACACTCCATCTTCGAGCAAAAATCAAGTTCTAATAGCAAATTTCACCAATATATTTATCTTCCTGTTTTCTGTCTACTTTATAAGTATAGTCTATATACAGTTTTTGATCTGTTGCCTGTTTCCAATGACGAATTCACAATTTATTTCTTAAAATGCAAACCAATTTGCTCTCAAATAATTTCAAGTGAAATGGTACATGGTTGGGTATAGGATTAACCCCAAGCCTACAGACAAGCGTACGACGTGTTCAACTAAACTATCATTTGACAGTTTGTTGACTGAGCCACATAATGTCAATCAACATTAGTTTGATTTAACAAATCTCGAAAGTTTTTATTGTAGTGAATTAAGTCTCGACATTATACCCTGACAAATTTCGTGGCTTACATTTGATTTAAAATTTATCCCCTAAACTAATTTATTGAATGTACACCTCAAGTGTGCAAATAGCCGGTGCCGTAATTACATTAAATGTGCCGTAAAGGGAGCAATTCCGACTTTGTGACGGCGTATTTGCCTCTAAAGTAGCATGTGTATACTTTATGTAGGCTGATACCGCCACTACCTATACTTGTTAAAAAATTAACATATGTCCAGCATCTTATGAATGCAGACGAGTGTTTCTTCAAAACACATGAATTACAACTCTGATAAATAAGTAGGCAACAATATTACATCTTTTTCAACATACAGAGTAAACCCTATCTAATCGTGAAATGTTTGATGTGCAACTATATATATATATATATAGCTTTTAATTCTACTCTAGAAAGTCTGGCAGAAATTCTAAGCTCAGCTAGGTATGTGCAATTTTGTACCCCCTCCCCCGCATAAATCACGGGAGAGAATGTAACTAAACATTCTATAAGTGAACTGTATATATTCCAACCTTGAATTTCCATTATCTAGTTATTAAATAAGGAATAATAATAGACAACGGATACAACCCAGACTCTGGTTCTTATATCATAACAAAGGTGATGACAATAATTTCAGCCAGTTTGAAATTCAGGTGGGAATAAGTCTTGCCATAAATTAAACTATAGGCCAAAATTGAGAGTACCCTAGCTTGAAAGACAAGTCATGAATTTATACTGTATATATTTAGGGTCGAAACTAATACATTTCGACCCTCAATCTGAATCAATATAATACTAAAATAAATTTGGCAATAAATAAAAAATATAATCTATCATTTAGGCGAAATTTAGAGTAAACTTCTTGTTTCTACATGTGTTTAGTTTCGAGGATCTGTATATAATGTGAGACGACTTGCATAAAAGAAAATATGGCAGTACAAAATATTTATAACAAATATTTGTTTATTATGTATTATTTTCAACTATATCTTCGATATTTTGTGAACTAGTCACAACAACATTGTACTTGGTTGAGAATAATAGTGATAGATAAGATTCCCAATTTTGAAGATCAACAAATGTTTGAGTTATAGTAATCTCAAAAGAATTTTAATTTACATTTCATTGATATCCTGAAACAAAAGTACAACACTTGGACGCGACTCAAAACTTGTTGATGCCAAAATGCAATAACCTGCCACTAGCGTGTTCAATGGCTGAACCATTACGGAAGGCCATATATTTTCCCAAAGCATAAGCATTCATAAAGTTTTCAGGACCCATCTAGTCAAGAAGGATCAGTTGGCAGCAGTAAATGTTTGCCGTCCATATGGATATACAAGAGAGAGCTTGGTTTAGATGATGCCACCACACTTTCACTCAAATAACCATGTTTATAATATCCCAGTAGTTGGCAAAATACCAGAGAAGAAAATGGGTGTGGTCTCTTTATGTGACCTCTAACTCATAGACCTGAAGATATGATTGATCCAGAAAATGTATTTGGCAGCAGTCCCTAAATGATTGTCAGTTTGCAATATCATGCAAATTCACGTTTATTACGAAACAACAGAACTATATTCAATATACAATTTACAGAAAATGCTTGCACGTTTTTACCAGAAATACATTTTACATTGTATATTCTCTGGTTTGACTGCTCGTAGACTGACTGACCTAGCAACTATTTAACAGTTTCTAGCTGAATGTTCTAGATAACAGCAGGATGACATTTTATTATTTTTAGATTGACACATACTATTTAGTTAGTGACTACATCGTAGCCCGGTCGAGAATATTCTGTCATGTAATGTGCTAAAGTTACATCAAATACTTATTCATATATATTATATTATATTATTAGTGTTTTTCCATTTTCTTATTCAATTACGTTTATTTTTATTATCTTATTAGCAAAACTAATTTATATAGTTGAACTGAACTTTAAAAATGTCTTTTTGAGAAATTAACTCATTAGAAATCTGAATCTGTAATTGTGTTTTTGCTTTGTATTTTTTCTCACGTTGTACTGTAGAATATTTAAGAAGAAAAAAATAAAAATATGAAAAATACATGCTATTTCTAATTTGTATTCACTCCATGAACAGTGCACATATCTAATAAATATCTGAACAAGATGTCCCAACCTTTTGGAGGTTCATGATTGGTGCTGACCACTAAACTGGAAATTATCTGCCACTCAATGTTAAGTGCAGAGTCTGTGAGAGCTTGTTTAATAAGGTGCTCAGCAGCTTCTTGGTGTGTGTGCACTAAAGTTGACTGTTGTGCCATGCATATCAATTCAGAATCTCTACCACTAGGGATCTTGAAGCGACAACATTGTGTCCCACGGTAGGCAAAGGAGAATTCACTTGACCTGAATTGATAGTTTGAAAACCAATGCTTTCAGTTCCTCCTCAATGAGTGCATGCAAGTGCTGTCCCACCCAATTGTGCTTGTAAAAGAGCACTTCACCCTAGAATTGACGCATCAATGTCACCATTAGTGAGGGGCATTGAAACTCCACTATGGGAGGTCAGCTGAGACGAATTGCATTGTTAAGAACAAACTCCTTGTGGTTAATCATGTCATGTAAGATGTTGATACGCAAAACAGTAGTTACTGAATAGCTCTGGGGTGTTGCATGGCCTGTGAAACCAAACACACTACCAGGGAGACATGTAAACAGCTTATAAGTGTGGTTTTGCCCATGAAAGTTGTAGCAAAGTGCACTAAAAGATTTCTCCTGTATTTTCCCCCGAGGTATGGAAAATCGCCTATCCCCCAAAACGAGATATCGGGATGGCATCAAAAAAGCTAGTCATTAAATTAAAGATAACATACAAGTGCCCACTACTTCGTGGTATACCATAAAAATCAGTGTTGCCATGGCAGAAACAGAAGCAGGCTTTGAATAACTCCTCAATAATGAATGACACTTCAACAAGAAACAGATGTGTGGATAGGCATCATGTATAGAAAGACGTCGTTGGGGTGAGCATACATTTTACAAAGATGTATGTATACCTCCTCTGCTGGTCCTTACATGTCCATACCTAGTTGTCAGCAGGTGTGTGTTTGTGGGTGGGGGAATGGTCAGCAGAGTGAGTTCAGAAATTAAATTTGTCCATTGATTTCTGAAGCTCTTGTTGGTCATATGCATCAGACATGATTTGATTAGCTATGTTTGAAGAAACCTAGAGGTATGTATTCGCTGTTTAGCCTGAAATAACCTTCATTAGCTCTGACTATTCTTTCTAGTAATCCCTCAGCTGATTATAGATGAAAATGTAAAGAAGGTAGTGGAGGAAACAGGCTTTGTAAGCAACATTTTTGGAGTCGTTAATTTACTGCAAAAAGATAATTTATAGGCTGGTAAACAATGTTTGCAGGTGCCTGAAATATGTACTCTTAGCCTGACAAGCTTTGGATTTGTTCAAACAGTAGCCTTCTTTTTAAAACCCATGGATTGGTTATTTTTGGTGGTTGCCATGAGAGATCGATCAGTGACGGCAAATAACCTGAGTTGGTGTTAGATTTGCAATGGCAGAAATACTTAATTTCATTGCATTTTAACATTAACAAAAATTAATTATTTCAGCATTCGGCCATCTTGAATCAATGCCGTATGATGTATACATCAAGGTTGAACATGACAGATCACAGCACATCAGAGATGTGGCTCAGGAATAACATTCAATCCAAAATATCCGTCAGTCAGAAATGACATCGCATTAAGCCTTTATGAGCCCAGCCATTTTTAAGATTTTATTGCTCGAATCCATCAACAATCTAATTTTAAGACAAGTCATTGAAAATGACACAGTCCCCGTTAAGTTCTCTTTGTGCTTGTCATATTAAAGCGGAGGGGTTGTCGCAAGCGTGTCCTTGAAACTTGAGTTCCAAGTGGCCTATACAACAGATTGTTTATTTACATGAAAACACGTGTTTCGTGTCATAGTAATATGGCCAAAATAAAAACAGCCGTTATTCAGCCATCTTTGATCTGATTATGAAACACAGAGATATGTATGATGTATGTGCCAAATACGAATGAAAATGGTACATAAATTGTGGAAATATAGTAGTAAGGCCAAAAAGTCAGATGGCTGTCAAACGGCCATCCTTGACCAGATTTTGAAACAAATTGTCATGGACATGCATCCTAACATGTATAAAGTACATGTATGTGCCAAATTTGAATGAAAACTGACAGAGCACATCCAAGATACCACATAAAAAAACAAAATCTAGATGCCTGCCAGTCGACCATCTTTGATCCAATTGCGAAATATATCGTCATGGACATGTATCCTAACATGTATAATCTATGTACCAAGTTTGAATGACAACT